AAAAAAAAAGAATAATTTATCTAACTCAAGTTCCACAGGTAAATGGTCACACAATCTAAGCAAAAATAATAACTAGCAATTCAGGTGGTTTGGAAGCTGGAGTGGGCTCATTGTTGTCTCAGTAGGCATTCATGTGCAAAGTATGTGGATAATAATTTGCATTCTCTTAAACTATTATGCTCCATGACCATCTGGGGGAGAGCAGGCAGGATAAATAGAGCAAAAACATTTGGGGGGAAGATTTATTTTTTAAAGAAAAAAAATGCTAGCATAGTTGGGCCTGCCTGATACTACCTTAGAATCACCAGGATAATGTGGGGAGGGGGCAGAGAGGGGGGAAAGTTGGGGGGGATCCTAATTATTTTATCTTTGCTCACAGCAGTGTCTGTTTGCCACAGTGCTGAGAATGGGAGTTTTTCTGTGCATCTCCCATGGAAATACAGAGAAATTTGGGATTCCAAAATTTTTCCCAGTTTTTTCCCAAAATTTTCCCCAAATTTTGCAAGTTTCCTCCCATGGAACATTTTTATAATAATACTTCATGTAATATTGCTATTTCTTGTTCTTAACTCAGTTGGGCAGAATTGTTATGGAAAAAAAGAAATATATGTGTCTCTATAGATATAGATATAAATACAGATATAGAGCGTCCAAATGAGTGTCTAATATCACAGCAATTGAAACTGCTTCACCCCTCCATAGGGGAGATTCTGTTAGAGAAGGACCAATGTTCTCTTCATTTCTTAAAGAATGAGGCAATTTCCTATCATGGGTCATTCCTTCAAAGTCTCTTATTTTCATTTCCTTGTTGACATTTGTGGAAAAATAGAGCTAAGTGAAAGTTGATAGAATTCTAGAGCACATGTGAGTTTGTGTGCCTAATTTTTTGAAATTCTTCCCAAACTGAATCTCTCCAATCCTCTTGTCTTAGCTTCCTGTTTTCTTAAATACTTTAGGCAGACGTGTCCTAGAAGAAACAGGGGTTCAGCGTCCTAGCTAGACTAGGCCGGTTCATTCAAACCAGTTGTTGACACAGTCTTTGTCATTTGCCAGAGAATGAAGGCTCTGTAAGCAGTGCTGAGAGTGCCTACACAAAGACAAAATGATGGGTGAATTCAGTCAATTCATGTAATATTGATATTTCTTGTTCTTAACTCAGTTGGGCAGAATTGTGATGGAAAAAAGAAGTATGTATGTGTGTCTATAGATACAGATGTAAGTACAGATATAGAGCATCCAAATGAGTGGGAAATAAGGGGAAGGCTTCTTAAATCAATTATTTCTGCTTGCTTCAACCAACCAACCAACCATTAGATTGATGGAATTAAGATTAATTTAATTTTTTATTTGCTTTTGCTTTTGCTGTTGTACTATTGTTTAAATGGTGCCTGGTATGTCTTCAACTGCCCAACAATATGCATAAATAGCTTTATATATAGTATTTATATATGTACATATAATTATGTAATGCAATTGTGTATGTATTATATAAATGAATATAATAGCTGATGTAACACACTAAGGTTTGCAAAGTGCTTTACAAATATTATTTTATCCTCACAATAACACTGAGACAAATGTGGAAACTGAGGTAAAGAGCAGTTTAATGACTTGCCCAGGGTCACACAGCTAGCAAGTGTCTTCCTGACTCCAGGTACTGCCCTCCATTCACTGAGTCACCTAATTGCCTAAGAGAAAGAGATGCAATGGGTGAGTAAAAAGGACAAAGGGAGATGCATGACATGTGGGCTAGAGACCCAGATTTAGAGTCAGTTGAGCTCTGAATTCAGGTCCTGCCTCTGACATATTCTGGTTATATCATCTTGGATAAGTCACTTAATTTCTTAGTGTCCCAAGGGACTCACAAAAACTATGAATTTCAGAGAAGTTTCCGATCTTCAATGAGTCAGGGAATTCTCTCCCTGGGATGAAATTAGAGAAACAAATGTATGTGTTCGGTGTGTGGGCATGCACACACATACATGTGATTTCATCTTTTAGAAGACTTCCCTGTGTGAGAATTCCCTCCACTGATGCCGACATGCAAATTAGCAAATTCTTCTCTCCTGGTGTTGCCTATGGGCACTCAGGGGGTGAATAACTTCAATAGTCACACAACAGAACTAGAACCCAGAGATTTCTGACTCCCAAGCTGCCCTACTACACTACACAAGATAATACATTCACTCCCCGAGGGTGAAAACACCTTAAATTCTCACTTCCCAGAACTAGTTAAAAATAGAAGTTTACATATGATTGAATAGTTCAAAAATTAAGTGCCTGTTATATGTGGGTGGGTGTCTGTAGACAAAAATAAAATAGTCTTTGCCCTTGAAGAGCCTAAATACTCCTTGGGGAGGGGGCATCCAGCATGTCCACAAGCAAATAAATGTGAAACAATTTGATGAAGATGGAAGCATTGACCACAAGCATTGGGCACTCAGGAAAGGGTGCTAGAAGAAGGTGGCACATGAGATTAAGTAAGAGATTCTCAGAGGCAGAGGTGAGCAAGGAAGAACTTCATGCCAACCTGTGCCAAGGCACCAGACTGGGAGAAAAATGCCAAGTTCAGAGAATAGCCACAGGGCAGTTTGGCCGAAACAATGAACAAACCAAGGGGAGTACCATGACATAAGTCTGAAAAGGTTGGTGTGGACGCCAGATTGTGAATGACTTCAAATGGGGGGAGCATGTAGGAGTGTTCTGCTTTATCCTAAAGCCAAGACGAAGACCTTGGATATTTCTAAGGGATGGGATTGGGTAGTCAGACCCTGTGCCTTAGGAAGAATATTTGGGCAGCTATGTGAAGGATGAAAAGGAGGAAGGAAAGAAATAGGAAGGCCAATTAGAAGGCTACAGGCAAGAGGAGACAGGGGCCTGAAGTCAAGTACTGACCATGTGAATAGAGAAAAGGAGATAGATATAAGAAATGTTTCGGAAGTAGAAAGGAGACTTGGCAATTATTAGATTAGTGGATTAGTGGTTAGGAAGGAGTGTGTGTCCAGAGTGATTAGCCAAAATATTTCCAAATTATTTTTGTCTCTCATGTCCCCTAGACAAATCTACACGGTGTCTCTAAATATATTTGCACTTTCCCTGTTTTTTGTTTGTTTTCTCTTCATTCCCACCCTAACACCATTTCTACAACCACCCAAAATGACTTATAATGACATTGTTCCTCTTTCCTGACCATTTGAATATAAGTCATCTTTCAAAGCCCAAGTTATTATCTAACTTCCCAGTGTAGCCATGACTGATCACCACCGGCCCAAAGTGATCCCTCCCTCCCCTAACCTCTTCTAGTAATTATTGTTTATGCCACTCTTGATATTCATTCATTCATTCAAAAACATCTATTATGTGCCTGTTGTATTCCAGACTTACAGCCACCTGTATTATTAGCTAGTTAGGGGTGACATAGAACACTAGACCTGGAGTCAGGGAGACCTGAGTTCAGATTGTGTCTCATACAACTGGCTATATGGCCAAGTCCTTAAAGTCCTTAAATCTCTCTCTGCCTCAATTTCCTCATCTATAAAATAGCACCCATCTCAAAGGGTTGTTGCAAGAGTCCAATGAGGTCATGTGTAAAGTATTTTGCAAACCTTAAAGAGCTCTACAAATATTAGCTATTTGATTCTCCACCGCTGTCTTTGGTCCACATAATACCAATAGTGCCAAACTCACAGTATTGTGTTTTTCAAATGAAATGATGTATTTATTTTGTATATACTTACATGTGCCCATGTGATCTCTCCCTGAAGAATGTTAACTGTTTAAGGCCAGGAACTGTTTCATTTTTGCGTTTGTATCCCTTCAATGTTAGATACCTAAGTGTACATTTAATGCTATTGATTAATTGACTGATTGAATGAGTGGATGGATAGATGTAAAGATCTTTAAAGAAATATCTGCCATTAATATTATTGTCATTATAAACTGGAATCTCTTGCTGATCTTTGGTGATCAGTAATTGAATTCTTCTTAACCTGAAAGGTCTAAAGCTGGGAGAGACCTCAGAGGGCATCCTTTTTACAAATGAGAAAAGTGAGTCCCAGAGTGATTAAATGACTTGCCAGAGATGGTACAGGTAGCGAGCATCAGAGATGGGATTGAAAGTCACATCCCCACCACCATCACCCCCAGCTCCAGAACCAGTGCTATTTCCTCTGTGCCAAACTGCAGCACATTTATGAGGCCACTATAATACAGTGGAAAGAAAAGTCGCTGGACTTTGGATCATATTCAAATTGTCTCTCTGCCACCAGCTGCTCACGTGACCTTGAGCAAGACACAAAGCTTGTCAGGGCTGCAGTGTCCTTATCCCTGCGATGAGGGAATTGGATTAGATGACCTGCGAGTTCCCTTTAAGCTACTAAAAATTCTTGTGATTAGGTCGTCTCTATCGATAAAGGAAATAGCAAGGGGAAATGCATCAGAGATGATAACTCTAAAAATGATACCACTGATTAAAAAAAATCATTGGTTTCTTGTTATAGTTACCAAATCTTAACTTTACTCTGATTTCTCACTCTCCCTGCCTTGGTAGCCACAGCAGCCCATGAGAGGTGCCTCAAGGTCACCATGCTGCTCCTTGTCTTTATTCACAGGATTTGACCAGCGCCTGGTGTTTATCTACTGGTGTGTGCCAGCTGAGATAGATTAGCTTCTTGTAATTCTTTCCTCCACTTTTCCTTCCCCCGGAGGACACATCTATATCAAGGACCTGTCTAATTACTGAGTAGGTGAAGAATAGAAATTTGTTAGGCCACCCTTGTTCTCTCTGTCAGGAGCTTTAAAGAGCTCCATGGCGGCTCTACCTTCCATCTCTTGTTTACCCCCACATCAAAAAAGATCAAAGAAGCCAAGACTGGAGGCCACGAAGGCAGCGATTTCCTAGCAGATCACACATGCTGTGTGTCAGAGAAATATTGTGCCACTTCTTTGGGGCTGACATTGAAACGACATTGTAATCCTGGCCATCTGTCTTCCTTCTCTAGATGTCGATGAATGTGCGGTAGTGAACGGAGGCTGCCAGCAGAGCTGCATTAACACTGAGGGCTCCTTCTACTGCGAATGTGATATGGGATACAGACTCCATGCTGATGGACGCACCTGCATAAGTGAGTAAATATTAGAGCCAGCTTGAAGCCCTTTCCAATGAAAATCGACCTTGCCACATGGGGGCCTTGGAGGAAGGCTTGCTCTTGAAAAGAAAAACCTCTATACAATCCATCAGTACTTCACAAATACAATGCTACTCCTCGGTCTCAAAAATAGCTGGTCTTAAAAAGGCAACAATGTCCATGGGATTTCTAAATGATCTTTTTTCTGTTAAATTGTTTATCTGAAAGGTGTGGCTTGGTCAAAGTGGTGTTGGATTGGGAACTTTGAAAACCTGTTTAATGGGTTGTAGAGAAGCAATATTTCTGTAACTTCTACTTTTCATGATTTGGAGTCAGAGAACCTGGGTTCAGATTCTACTTTGCTGCTTCCTGTGTGACCCTGGACAAGCCGTATCCTCTCTGGGACACCAATAACATTAGTGACGGTATTAGTAATGACCAGCAACTGAGTTCTCCTTACCCCCAAAGCCTTTCAGTCTTCTTTTTTTTGTAAAAACAGAGCTTTTTACTAGATGACCTCTAAAGTCCCTTCTAACTCTAAATGCATGGCCTTATGAATACAATGGGTCTATATATCATAAACTTCTACTTTACCAATTCTCTTTAGTCAGTTAAGAAAAAATTATTAGATGCCTAATATGTGCTAGGCACTGTGATAAGTACTGAGGATTCAAAGAAAGACAAAAAAAACCCAATCTCCGTCCTCAAGTAATTCACATTCTAATAGGTGAGACAACATGAATGTAACTAGACACACACAAGATGTATACTGAACAGATGGAAGGTAATCTGAGAGGGGAAGGCACTAGCAGCTGAGGGAACCCCGAAAGGACTCCTGAAGAAAGTAGTCTTTGCATTAGACTTGAAGAAGGGGAACCGAGAGGTGGTCAGAATACACCGCGCTTGGATTGCAGTCAGTTCAAAGGTATGGAGATGGAGCACGGAATGGCATGTTTGAAGAACAAGTTTCATCCCTAAAGTTCCAAAAGCATGAGGAAGCTGAGGCCTTTTCCTACTTCAGGAATCTAAGTGAGGCAGGGAATTGGAGTTCAGACAACCTGATTTCAAATCCTGTATCAGACACATCTGAGCTGCACAGCCCAGGTCAAGTCATTTAACCTCTCTTAAACCTTCATTTCCTCACCTGTATATGGAGATAACATCCCCCTTCCAAAGTTGTTTGTAAGGATTAAATTAGATAACATACACAAAGCACTTTGCAAAACTTAAAGCATTGGGTGAATGCTAGCTATTAGATTTTCTCATCTTCATGAATTCAAATCCAGCCTCAGACACTAACTACATGACCCTGGGCAAGTCACTTAACCCTGTTTGCTTCAGTTTCCTCATCTGTAAAATGAGCTGGCGGAGGAAATGACAAACCACTCCAGTGTGTTTGCCTAGAAAATTCCAAGCGAGGTCACGAAGAGTCAGACACGACTGAACAAGTACTACTGTGGTCATACAAAGTCCTATGCACAATATGTGAAGGAATTAGGGGGGAAATGGCTGTGCTTGTTCAGATGGTGGAAAGACATGTTTAAGTTGTTGTTTTAGATTCCTTTCTTAAGTGTATTAGAAGAGTGACATTTCAATTCCCCCGACAGGCCCTATATGACTACTTTGGAAGTGTACTTAATCAGAGTATGTTAGCTGGTCCATTCACACAGAGATTTCTAATGGCTAGGAAGAGACTTTTAGAAATATTATTAGGATTAGCCAGATGCTTCTTAATTATAGCCTTGGTCATCTTGCAAGGACACTTTGATGAAATGAGGGAGGTTTGAGGGAGAAAAGAGCTGCTCCTCCAACCAAATCCCCGTTTGAAAAGTGAGAGAGACAGAGAGAGACAGAGACAGAGAGAAATCCTGAGAGACAAATGAACTCTCCTGTGCTATTCAGGGTCTCACTGGTGAAGTTACAAATAGAAATGAGCCCTCATGCTTGATGGCCTTGATATAAATACATTACCATGTGCACCTAGTCCAGCTGGGTGGTGTGATGACTGCTTTAGAGAAAGGGTGACATATAACGTTGATCAAACAGAATTTCCCCCTTCTATGTCTGGATTCCCGGCCTTCACTGCAGGGATTTCCCCTGACCTTTTTGATCCACAGCAGTTGCCGATTTGCCCACGCTGGCTTTGTGATTTCTCTCCATCTCATAGTATTGCAGGCCAACAGTGCCAAGTGATATGCTGTAGATTGACCCAGGAGGGCAGATTCAGTGAATTACAGAAGCTAGTTCATTCCAGTTCTAGGTCAATTCCTGCTTCTAGTTTTGAAGAAAATTTATAGAGGCATATGAAGTAGTAGCCCGCTGTATTCAGAGCATTATAAATTTAGAGCTAGAAGGGACTTGAGTGTTATCTAGTACAGTGTCCTTATTTTGCAGATAAGGAAACTGAGGTTTGGGAAAGGTAAGTAACTTGGCCAAGGTCACCTAGGAAAATATATAGGAAGGTCAGGATTTGAATCTAGATTCCCTGACTCTGAATTCAGCACTCTTTCCACTGTTCCACATTGATAATTTCAAATCTTTTTGATAAGGCACCATGAAAACATCGGATGCTGAATACTTATTTCCTTTTAAAATAATAGACATTTTTGGAAGTCTGGAGATTACTTGAATTTTAATTCATCAGATAAAATCAATAAGCTTCCTCCTGGTTTTTCTTCCTCTTCTTTTGTTGCTATTGTTTTTGTGCCATTATGGAAATCCTCATTAATATAAATGGACTCACTTGACCCTTTGTGTATCCAAGGCAGTACATGATGCCGAGGTCAAAGGCAAAGTGATCTGGTTGAATCGAATAGAAAGAGCTTTCAGGATGATCATTCCACAAAGTGCTATAAGAGCAAAAAGTCAAGCTTTTGTTCCCAATCGTGGAAGAGGCCAGGGATTTATACTGAGTAGATACTAGAAGAGATATGAGAGGCCATTTGTCTAATCTCCTTACTAATGCACATATCCCCTCTTCCACTTCTCACTGTATACTTCTGGTGACAGGGAATTCACTTCCTCAAAAGTTGTTGTGTATTTCTCATTGTTGTGAAACTCAGGCATTATGTCTATATTTTTCTGTCCTCTCTCTGGGGCCACGTAGAATACACCTAATACATCTTTTCAATGATGTTATCTCAAGAAGAGGTCCACATTTTCTCAGAAGAAAATTCTAAATACCCGATGTGAAAAGTGGTAATCAAGATGATAACAATAGTGGTGCTGAACTAACACCAACACTAGTACCTTCATAAAAGTGTTACCCCCCTGCTTTATCACGGTACGAGGGAAACCTTGACTCTATGCCTTAGCAGATGGTCTTTGCTAGCAGATGCACCTAGAGTGAGCTGATACCACTAGGGGGATGTGCCCAACCTTGGTAAGAGTTTCTCACAACTGACACTTAGAACAAAGAAGTAGATTCTATTTTGGGTCCCACAGTCCAAGTCTTTCAACATAATTGGAATGTGCCTTCACCTGGCACCGCCTATAAGAACAAATGTCCCCTTTCTACTGTGATGAAACATGGCATTAGGACTTTAATGGTGGCTCTACTCATGCCATCCATCTTCCCTTGTATTTATCATCATGATAGCTGATGATGGTTGAGTCTACACTTTAGTCTTCCAGAGAGACTTTTGTTAATGTCAGTTAGTGCCCGAGTATTTATAGATGTCCTCTTGAGACAGCATGTCATATAGAATAGATTTTGTTTCTTCTGATTTGCTTTGGGAAAGGAAAACAGCCCAATGATTAGAGATACCCTGAAGTGGAATGTGCAGCCTTGGGACACTTCAGGCTCTACCTTGCTAGAGGCCTTCAAGTGATGACTGGATGACCACTTGTCAGCCACGTTGTAAAAATGACTGGACTAGATGGGCTCTGAAATCCCTCCCTTACAACTATGAGATTCTTTGATTATTTCTTATTTAAGTACCCTATTTGTTTTGCTGTTATGTCCATTCCTCTGAAGCCAAGCCGAGAAAGCAGAATCCCTCTTCCATGTGGTACCTATGTACATAGGCACAATTCCCAAACAGCACACATGCAAGATATTTTACGTTTTCAAGGGAAACACAGTGATACTCAATATCTCAATGACCATTGTTCAGTCATTTTTCAGTTGTGCCCAACTCTTCATGCCCCCATTTCAGGTTTTCTTGGCAGAGACAGGTAATAGCTTGCCATTTCCCACTCCAGCTCATTTTAGATAAGGAAACTGAGGCAAACAGGATTAAGTGACTTACCCAGAGTCACACAGCTAGTAAGAGTTTGAGGCCAGCTTTGAACTCCTAAAGATGAGTTTCCCTGACTCCATGCCTAGTACTCTATCTACTGTGTCACCTAGCTGCAGTGATACTCAACATCTGAATGACACTATAGGAATTACTAGTTTGTCAGTTCACAATCTCAACATCAATCGTTAATTCTATTTGATGATGTTCTCTGAATGTTTGAGATATGGTTTTGTTTACTTGTATTTTTGGCTATTCAAGTCACTTCTTGAACTTACTCATTTGTGATGTCAAATCTTTATGAAACTGGGATTTGGATGTTTGTGATAAAAATGCAAGTTATCACATGAAAATCAGTATAATACATGAAATGAGGGTGGTGGTGTCCAATCTGATTCCATGGTTTGACAAGTTTCACAGTACCCAATGGGCATACATATCCCTTTAGCGAGTAATTGTGGTTATTTAAGAATTAAATTTTAATATTATTTTTCTTTCAATGTTCAGTTATTGTTTTTCAAATGGCCATAAAGTTGTTAGGACATAAATATTTGTTATGTGGGCCTAGCTACATGATAAATAAAACTGCTTTCTTTTGGCCTGTGGGCACTGGTGAAAAAAATTACTGAGTCACATGAACAGAGAAAGTTTAGTCACTTCTGGCATATGAGAAGACGGCAAACATAAACCCTCCTCGTGCCCCACAATTCTTCATCTTCCACAAGACATTAAAAAATATGGTACCCATATGTAAAACTA